TGGTGGCAGGCGATATCTTCGTCTTCGATTATAATGGGATTATCTGGCCTGGTTAGCGTACTTCCTACCACCTCAGATTACCAAGGCCTACCGGAACTGTGAGCTGGAACTCCCGGGGTGTTGCCACGTTTCGGTGACTGCATTCTCACTCTTTTGATTGGGTTCCCACGAGTGCTTGGATCATTTTCAAAATCTTGGTGGCTATCAGATTTGATCTCTGGATTCTCTGAGCCCTTTCGCTTTTGATTTATAAATTGTGGTGAATTAAACGTTTTCGATTTCGAATGCTGGCAATCGTCCGCCTTGGTGTACGAGGGACCTGATCGAGCAAGGGTTAGCGTGTTTTCTCCGCTTGAGTGAACTTCCTCCATCTTTACAGATGAGGTAATCTGAATCGTATGCTTGTATCTGCTGATCGGGATAAGTTTGGTGACGAATGAAGTCAGACCAGCGGAGATATTGGAACCTTTATATTCCAGTCGGCTACACTGCTAGCTCCCACAAGTCGTTAGATACTGTATCCTATGAGGCATAAATGAGGCGAAGTCTGGAACAAGAAACACAGCCCTGACTAGCTGTTCTCATCAGAGTCCGAGCAATACGTGATTGACTGTGATGCCTGCAGTAGGAGACGCGCCTGGCTTGGGTGCCACGTCATTTGTTCTGTTTCTTGTGTCTTCCCTCCGCCATCCAATATGGCGTGGAGCAAGAGGGGGTATGGTTGGACTGATCTCAGGCTGCGGTGTTAAGGAGACCATTTCCAAGTCTCAACTCTTGGATACCTCGCTGCTAAGGGAGCCTTACTTCTCCCCCCTTGAACAGACGATAAGTATTAGTTCTGACCGGACCACGCCTAATTGCTACTACAAGGGTGGTTACTAGAGCAGAGACTGTTAGTCGCCCTGTTCTTATACAGCCTGGGAATCGGGAATGGGTCTCCGTCATTGAATCAGCCAATTTAACTGGATGGGCTCTGCCACCGTGTATCATATTCAAAGCGAAGACCCATCTATAGGCCTGGTATGAGAATGAGGCCTTACCACGCGACTGGAGGATTGAGATAAATTCTAATGGGTAGGCCACTGACGATATTGTGATCTCATGGCTTCAAAATCTCTTTATCCCCTATACAAATACTCGTACAAAAGGGAAATATCGGATGTTCTTGACGGGCATGGAAGCCATCTGACTCCTCAATTTGATCGGACCTGTGCCCAGAACAACATTATACCAATTTGCCTACCACCACATTCATCTCATCTTCTACAGCCTCTTGATGTCGGCTGTTTTGCAGTTTTGAAATGCATATATGGCCGCTTAGTGGAGGAAAGTATGCGGCTTGGAATCAATCATATCTACAAGCTAGATTTCCTTGCAGCGTATCCAAAAGCTCGTTTGGGAGCCCTCAAATTAGAAAAATATCAAAAATGGCTTCGCAGCAACTGGTCTGGTGCCACTTAGTTTAGGATGGGTGCTCTCACAGCTCAATATACAGCTCCAGATCCCTACACCACCTTGAAGCTGTTCTATACGGGCACAAGGAAGTGGTCCAGGTGCTGCTTGACCATGGAATTGACACATCCATTATTGATTACAAGCAGCAAACAGCGTTACATGTTGCTGCGCAGTGCTTTGCGTCCGATATCGTCGCACTTCTTCCAGGAAGAGGAGCAGATGTAGGTGCCCAAGATCGCGAAGGAATGACACCGCTTCACTTTGCATACCAAAAAGGCATCTAGCAAACGATAGAATGCTTGCTCGAGAAGGGAGCCGACCCGGATGCCAAGAATCAATACGGCTTTACTCTGGAGATGCTTCATCCTCACAGCGGGCATTAAGCAACGATAAGACTATTGTCACAGTTCCACTACACCTAAATGGTTATTGACGAAAGCTGGGAACTAATGGTCCACTCGAAAAGAAAATAAAACAAGAATTGACTGGAAAGGTCAAGAACCACACGGAATAAGTTGGTACAACTCATAGGAATAGATTTATGCCGCTGAATATCCATAGCGGTCTACTGCACGTCTGGATCGAGGTGGGCCGTATCGTTGTCGGCACGGCAAGTTTATTGGTGAGCCTGAGGGATCCCGCCTTCTGTCCACAGTTTGCACCCTAGAATCCAGACTACGCCGCAACCCGCTAGAAGCAGGGGCCGCATCTAGTATAGACTCGGCTCTACCACTCTGCTTTATTCCCCGAGGCCTTGACCTTCGATGCTTCAGTGTCGCAGAGTAGCGTACCTGGAGGGAACTCCTCGTTCTCTCTGGGAAATGCTTTGCAATCTCACTCCATGACAGATTGTCCTTTTCCTTTAGTTTCACCAAGAGCTCATCCTCTTCGCGTGAGAATCGAGTGCCCTTGGCTGCAGCGGTCCCCGAAACCTTTCTGGAGATGGACGGCCTTGCAATATCTGCTGTCGCCCTCACCTTCACCATCCGTGGGATTTCTCGCAGGGTTGGGGGGAACCGATGGACCTCTATCTTCTTGGAAGGAACAAGAATAGACGATTTCGGACAGAAATATTTGGCGGGTGAGGAAGCCTGCAGATTGGTCCAGTGAGGGTATCGCCTTGTCTGACGAGATGCCCGGAGCTTCCTGTCGTACTCGGATGGGCTACATCCCCCAGAGACTGACACTCGCGCAGAGATTGACACTCAGACAGAGAGTTCGAACAAGAAGATAGTATCTCTAACTCGGAAGCCCCCTGGAAAGCTTCTAAGGGGTTCGCAGAGAGAACTCGCTCTTCGGCAGATCGTCGATTCAGAAAATCGTGCAGCTCAGTCGCTAATTGTCAGGGATGAATCTCCATGGGATACGTTTAGGAAGGTCTACAGCTGCGACCTCGCTGGCACCGTTGCTATAGTCGTTCATCGCATTCGCCCCTCCCGAGTCCTAGCCATCCGGGCTTTCTCCAAAAGAGATGCAGACAAGATGTCGTAGAGATTCCGCCAGATCCAGCACGAAAATATCGTCTCTGCCAAAGAATGCTTCCGATTCAAGGATTCGATGTATGTCCTTTTTGAAGATCTCCCTCTCACTCTGGAACACCTCGTTGCCTGCGATGCCTACCCCAGCGAGATCCAGTTAGCTTCGATCCTGGCCCAGGTAATCCCCCGCTGATCCACTGCTAATGAATTCTATTAACTGTCGGTAGGTCCTCAGCAGTTTATCCTATCTCACGGCAGCCGGTTTTGAGCATCGGTCTCTGATATCCTCCAATATACTGTTGGGGCTTGATGGGGTTATCCAGATCGGTATGGACATAGTCCCTACGTTGCTGAGGACAGTACTGATGATATCTTAGCGGCCTTGGAGGACTGTCATACGCATCTTCTGGATCAGACACAGGCTCAAGCCATGAAAGCGTTGGCAACCATTACTATGGAGCTAATGCAAAAATATGTCAAGGATGACGGGGTGATCGGGGTGGATGATGTAGAGCGATGGCCGGTCGATTCTGATGCCGTTGGATTCCTTTCGGCGACTACCTCTGCTGGTTCTATCGAAGAACTAAAAGGCGTAAGTCCCGCCTCCACTCGATTTAGAGTTCAATTCTAATCTCTCGCAACTCTCCAGCACGCGCTCATAACAAAGCGGCGTTGCTCTAGGGGCGAGCTGGTTGACTTGGCTCGGTTTGCCCTGATTTCTGCGCGCACGTTCTACTCGTACACTCCATAATCGTATTCGCAGTTAAGACTCTTCCTAATATTCCAATATGTGACACAAGAGAATGTTTAACATCTACGAAGGGCTTTGTCTATCAATAAACATACTCAGAATAGTCGACCCTCTGAGTGACTCCGTCTGATATCTGCCTGATTGTAGGAACAAGGGTCAATTGAACGCTTCCATTATGAGAGGAACAACTTCACAGCTGAGTTCAGGTGACTTAGCTAAGCAGCCTGTCCGTGCAATGCCAAATCCGTCAAGAATAGAACAGTTATAGAATAGTTAACTAGTTACCAGCTTCAGTTGGCTTATATAATCATGCTGGCAAGTAACTAACTAACTAACCTAGTTAACTAACTACAGAGTAGGTCGATCCAAATTATTCGGATCACTCTCTGACAACCCTGGCTTCGGAAGCAATTCAGCCTACAACTTGGGTCTCAGGTATCTTACGTAACTAACCTGGTTCTAACTAACTAGCTACGATAGGGTGCCTTTAACCAGATCGCTCTGCGTCATCAGTGCCTTGAATTTTCATTACTCATTACTCGATACTCAACTGACAATTCTATAATAAACCCTATTTCTCTAACAAAAAGCAACTTTTACCCTAAGGTATCTCGCCTAGAAATATTTGGAGTAGCCATTCCAACTCTGTTAGCTATAGAGAAAATCCTCCTTAAGATAGCGCATTCCGAGTAACACCACTCCAAACTGATTACATCGGAAAACTAGCAGCAACAGTAATGGAACCCAAATGAGAATAATACAAAATTCTGGAAGAATGACGAATAAATAAAAAACAAGAAAAGCAAAAAATAAAAAAAAATAAAAAAATAAAAAAAGAAGCTCCTAATTAGCACAACTGTGCTAAATTATTGATAGATGTCAGGGATATCGTTATGTTCCATCGAGGATTTACTCAACTGAAGCATTTCTCTATTGGAGTTGACGTGATATGGGCGCCAATAGAAGACCATCATGCATGGAAGTAGGCTGTTACTTCCTTAACCAGGCATTGGTAAATATCAATGGATCTCTATCAAGGCTGCCTTTAGCCTTCTGGCCCTTGAATGGGTATATCTCTTCTGCAGCGGAGGAAGTTAGAGCGAGCAGATGCCGCAGCCGATTGCGGATCAATCCATCGCCACGCTTTTTCAAGACATCCGGTGTCCAGATCTGTTTGGGTTAGTTGATTGATACGTCCATTGATATCCTCTATTGCCAATAACTCGCTGATATAATCACCGGAAACCTCCGCAGATATTACCTCTTGGTAGTCCGGTACTCCCTTGTAGACAAAGGCTCGGTCGTGCTTTCCAAAGGGCTTTTCATCCTCAACTGTCATGCCGGATTCCACATAGAGAGAAACTTCAAGGATCTGGGTTCCCTATTAGCATGCTTGTTATTGAATCCATGTGAGATTGACATACATAGCCATCATCAAGAACATCATCGCTCAGGAGACTGTTTAGCAGCGGTTGGGCTGCAATAGCAATATCTGGCCTTTTTAGCAGAGCACCTTCCGTTCTGAGAGATCGACGTACCTAATGTCCGCAATTGCCACACAAAATGCACACGACGGACTCGAGAAGTCGAAGTGTTGTAGCCATGGATCAATTGCTTGAGATATGAGATCACGCCAGCAATACCAAAGCCACTGGTGATCGCCAAGACGCTCTCATACTGACCGATAGGCTCACTGGTACCATGGAGACCGCTGACGAAGGCAAGGAATGAAGCAGAACCTTCTTTGGCTGCCCAGGAATGCAAATCTGCTGAAAAACCACGGCGAGTCTGCACAAAGAGTTCCAGAGTATCCTGCTTGCCTGGGGACCAAGACGTAACCATGAAAGGATGAGTCTGCGTCCAGGACCACAAGCTCACAGAAGGCATCCACAGACTGATGTATTGGCCGGCCTTCACTTCCAGTGGTCGTGCAAGGCCGACACGGATTTTGATCACTTTCTCCTTATTTTTGTCATCATCGTCCTTCTCGTCACCGTTGTTGTCCTTGTCACAGGTGACTAATGCTCGAGGATACCGGTGAGACGAAAAGATCCTGTTACGGTACAGGAAGATCCAAAGCTGCAGAAGCGTTGTCAGCAAAAAGACTCCTAGTGGTATGTAGACACAGATTTGGGGAAGGAGAGAATCAGATTGCAGATGCCGCCAAATGGAATAGAGACAAGCTGCCGCTAGTCCTTGGTGCGTTCGGAGAAAGATCTCGTATGCAAGTCGACGAAAGAACGGAAGAGAAAATAGTAAAAGCGTCACCAATGATGTTCCACCGTGTTTGTGGTTAGTTCACAGCTGCTCTTGTAGACAGTAGGACGTACAATGAGAGCAAAAAGATTGTCAGACTTGTGCAGCGAAAAATTTGCCTGCTGCACAATTGTTGCAATGACGATGTGGACAGTCGGCAGGGCACCCGCCATCCATCCTGTGGTGCGGTGGATCCGCCGGCGTGTATGTAAGGAAACCCCGAAGACATCTGCAAGGAACCCCAAATACGTTGTCATGAAGAGAAACGCCATATTGACGAGTGACAATGTTCCAGCCCGACGACCAGCGCCGGCTGCCGATGGTACCTGAAAAGAAATGCAGAAGATGTTGACTGCCACGTAAGTGAAATGTAGGAGGACACTGGCAGGTGTCCAAGGACCAAAATGCCGGTGACGATTAAGGAGATATGCATAGGTTAGATGCTTTGGAATAAGTATGGAAATAGCATTTGTCAATCGTATGAGATAAGGCACAACCCTGAGCAGAATGGGGGATACAAAAATGCCGCCTGCGGCGATAGCGTAAATACTTATAATGTCCATGGCTTCGAGCATATCAATGGTAATGAATAGCAACGAGAGAAAATCTGAATTTGACAGAGGAAGGGAATTGGAGCTCTTTAAGTAGTCATTGCTGGAACAGGGACCTGACGTCAGCTCCCTGAAGACTAGTGCACTCGATAGCCATCACTATTTCGCCAATAAGAGAGACAGATGGGAGCATGGTGCTCAAACACCGTGGCTTTTCAAAGACTTGAAGGCGTTTTGGTCAGCGAGCGCGGACTTGCAAAGCCGTTTCGGGAGCTGGAGGCCAGAATTGAAGCCTCAGAGAATACCTATATATACCCCAGACCGCCCAGACAAGGAACGCAGACCATGCTCGTGATTTTCGCTGTAACTTTGCGATTCCGTTCCAAGGCAGGATGACATTTCATTAGGTCAGATATCGATCTAGATCCAATGTCAGATGAATGGATGACATTCCTTCTACACACTTTTATCCTACCTCCACATATTCAGACATCTCTCCCAAGCAAACAGGACATTCTCCTCTTCATGTTGTTGATCCAAGTATGGCATCATCGCTGGGCCGGGAATCACGACAGTGCCGTTTTGTACTAATAGGGTTTGGGTTGGAGCAGATCTTGTACGTTCGCGTTGTTAACTTCATGCTTTGGGTCGACTGTGCACTGTGTGGAGATAAAGATTGTGTCGATATATCTGCACATTTTTTATAGTTGAGTCATTGTCTGAGATAATGCTATGATTTGGATTGAAGGACAATGATACAGAGATCTGTTGAGTTCAGGAAGTCACAAATCTTTCTCAAAGTAAGGAGTGGTACCTCGAGACTTGAAACATACCAGTGATGGAATTGCAAGAGACCAGGAGGATGTTGACAATGAAGTTTTCGCCTACTGGTGGATTCACCTGTCTTCTTATATTGAAAGTATGGCCAGTTCTTGTGCATGGATTAGAAGCGGGGTTACATAGGAGGACGCGCATCCTTCAGTCTGGCATTGCCTCAAGTTCGTGGCAGGGGACTTTGATTTCTTGGTCAACCCCACAGTGTTGTCTACAGTCTTTCAGTCTGCGCAGACTCCTGCCTTGGCAACCAGATACTAATCAATGTGCACTTTCATATGTCACACTTGCAATTGGGCGCATTCTGACCAGTAGTTTGGCTAAGCCTACATCTGCTTTAGCAGCAGATGACCTTGCAAATTAAAGACAGAGGATGCATCCCAACTGATCCAGAAAGAAATGGTGAGCCAGGTAACACTGTTGTCTACAGTAACTACCCACCTTGACCAATCATAGGCCTGACTGATAATTTTGCATTCCATGTGCAATCTACGAAGAAAGGAACACGTGGGTTCTGTTGCTTGCGTCTAGTTCAAGGAGTCAACAGCTGGTGGATGTAAACCCTCGATTAAGGGACAAGCCATATCTTCCTAGGCTATTACGTCGGAAAAATTTATTTATTTGATCCTTTGTGCCTTATTTATTTTTTGTAGTCCAAAGTATGTCGGTGATAAGGATAGTTCAATTCCCGGACAAACAGCAGCAGTTTGTGACGGTGAAATTGAACTTGGTGTTGCCTATTCGAAACGGTATTCCGTGACAATCCGGTGCGATGAGATAAGCAGCCTGGAGTAACTATATTGACAAGAACAAAACATCCGATTATATGCGTCATTATTGGACCATAAGGCCTCTGGTTGAATACTGCAGAAGCACCAGTGTTACATACCTCCATTCTTGTTTTGCTGGCGGTTCTAAACCTTCTTGACAGTCTTCCTTACTAAAGGTCTTTTTCATTGAAGCCATGGCGTGTAATTAGCGTAGCTGAACATTGGAGTTGAATGTTAAAAATGAAAAAATAGCTTGTTAGGTATCAGGCGACAATTCAGCGCAATTGTCAGGCTGGGATGTTGTGCGCTTCTCGCACCACCAGCGTATACCCTCTACATTAAATATGTAGTCGGAAAAAGGACTGATAAAAGTGCGTGGGCTGCACCTAGGGGACTACAGTGCGACGTAATGCATCTCTGCCCTGCCTCTACTGAAGTATACGGGCAGATGTGGCCTGTCCACGGAAGGATGCCTGCTTGCCTCGAGTTAATCATGCAGGTCTGTTCTGGTGGCTCGCCCTTCTGGGCGCTATCTTCCGAAGGCACCAGTGGAAGTTCACAAATGCAACTAGCATCCCAACTAGTAATGATTCATACGTGAAGCGATATCTTCTAAAGGCACCAGTAGAATTTTATATATGTAACTAGCATTGCAGCTGGCAGTGACTCACATGTAAAGGAATTCAATTGGAGCATTTTCACCAAATCAACTCCATAGAGAAGGTTGCAGCAAGAGTAGGGTAGAAGGATGCTGCATTATTCGAAACAGGCCTCAAGCAGACCTAGTATCGTGTTCAAACTATAGGGCTCCGTTACTTACCTTGGTGCTGCCTATTCGAAGGTATTTTGGACTACATAATTAGAGAAAAACCGGTCTTCTAGCGCATGTAAAACAATTCAGTGCAATAAGATAAGCAGCATAAGGTTTAGCAGTATACTCGACTTATGTGTCATATATACAAGCCTTCTGCTGTGATTATACTTGGTATATGAGCTGGTTCTTAAAGTCATTGAGGGATAATTATGACTTTGCTGGACAAATAATGGTAAAGTATTGTGAACTGGGCCTTCTTTCATGAAACATAGATATATGTAATATAGAGTAAAAGTCTACGAGGAAGAGCACTAGTACAATCTTCTTAAGTTGGACATTGTAGAGCTTGTTGCGATATATAACCGGCCATCAAATACTGAAATCTAGGGGTAATAGCTCTCTTGATTGGCAACCAAAAGGTGGGCTGGTCAGGCGCAATGCTGCTAGGCGACTTCGCAGGATATTCGATGTGATCAAATTACTCCAATGATCCTTGGTGGATGCGAGTTGTTCCCCAAGGCTGGCGTAACCACAACGAGTAGGAGTCACGAGACTCCGGCCACACATCGGGCAGCAAGGAACGCTTTAGCAACGCCCCGCTACGCCCCGCTAAGGAAGTTGATTTCATTTTCGTCCTTTCTAACCTCATACAAGTTATAATTCATAGACCCCCCAAAATTATCATGTAAGGCGCTCACACCTTCAATAGGTAATTATATATAACTGACAAACAGTTCATCAGCTTCACCAAGTTTCCATGCCTTTTCCGTGACTCCCTCTCTAGAAACTGGCATCTTCGAAACGAACTACCGCAGTCATCTCGTGATGGCTACCAATAGCCCGGGAGCAGGTTTCGTCGAATCCAAGGAGATACCTGATTCTATTCAAGTCCTATACGATAAAGCCTCCAAAGCCGATGAAATCCTTGCGAGGTCTCTTTCTAGTTCCAACCATCGCCCGGTTGTGACTATGACTGTGGATCGTCATGGTTGGGAGGTGATAACAGAGATAGAGCGATTGTACGAGGTGAGACAAATGCGTCAGCAATTGTACAACGAGCACGCCTAAACTCTGAACAGGACGCCCCGCACAAACGTGAGTACCGACAGTCCAAGCCGAAAGGAATCAAACCCGCCATACAAATTTTCTTTGCTGGAGAGAACCCGGTCGGAGATCCCTATGTGGCGTTGATACCGTTCTTTATATCTGGAAAGGTGAAAATTCACGACGAAGTCCTCCAATTGAAGCATTATTACAATGTGTTTGGAAAATGCCCTCTTATTGTCGAGGATGGTAGTAAACTGGGGGCATGGGTATATTCAGTGACCTGAGCCGGTAGAGCCTCAAGAAGTATACTTTAAACATATTCAGCGTTTTGCATATTGGAATGATACTCTGGAGCCGACACTTGATCCATCGCTGGAAGAAAAGTTGCTGCATCATGGTGGGCGTGGTGCATATTCCCTCCTCCATTAGACTCGTAAACATATGGTTGGGTAGCTATTTGCTCCAATCCCAGAGACGCATTAAAAATACTATTTTCGTAGAGATCGAGGTCTAGGGGCTGAAAAGCGATCTGGTCCATTCCCGCTGATGCGTTACACATGCCCTCTCTGCGAGGATCAGGAAGAAGGGACTGAGGAGCAATCTGTCGTATCGCCGAGGGCGAGTCATTCGCTAAATCGGGAGTGGCGAGACGCTGAGAGACAGGACCAGGCTGATGAGCATGCAGTGGCGTCCATCTGCTTGGATCGGATTGATCGTTGCTAGGTTGATATGAATGTTGGCGCATTGCCACAAGAGCATCAGCAATACCATGGTCGTCAGCGCGGGAGGTTTCTGGTTGAGGATACTCATCAAACCGTAGCCTCGTGGCCCCCAGTGAGGCATCTTGTTGCAGTTGTGTCACGACAGATCCGCTAAATCTCTGGTCCTGGTATGATGCACGGGATGGAGCCGTAAAATGCTCCGAATCGCGAGGGGTGAGATCCGCATGCCTTTGAGCAAATTGGTGAAGATCCCGTATTTGTTCTCCAGAAGGACCTTGATAGCCATGAGAGGTAAGATTTCCAGGATGGACGCGTGACAACCCTCCAGCTGCGTCAGAATGCGACGGATCCTCATCATTATGACAAGAGCGACGTCTGCCGGAATGTCGACGCTTTGCAGAGTCTGGGCGCGAAGACCGCTCTCGCCTCTTGCCTTTATGCGATGGAAAAACTCGAATTAAACAAATTCCACGGCTTCTCCTGTACTCTTTAAAACGTGTTAATCCATGGCGATGAATACAGGTGGTGTGAGGACGCTCACTTACCACAGTAGAAGTTATAGCACCTCATAGTCCACGCAGAGAGGCCCAACAACAGGTCTTTGACTGAAGTCTGAGTCGGTTGCGCGTGGCCAGAAGCGTCAGTTGAAGGCGGATTCCCAGAGACCCTATCCTGGATTGGTGCCGCTTGTCCATCTGTAGACAGAAGCAAGACAAAACTTGGTATCTGACCATATTTCATACGGCAAAATGTTCGGTAAGCAGAAGCTATGCCAACATCAATTCCCATGCTATCGCAGCGGAGCTCCTGCTGACATCTGTTCTTAAGCACCAGTTGTTTGAGACCATATCGAATGACCTTCCTAGAGTATTCTTCATCGTGGAATCGGTGCCGTACAAATTGTGAAATACGGCCTGTCTGCTTCTTTTGTGAAGACGAAGGTTCACAGCACAGTTGGTCCAGCCTTGTTTGCTGTACCTGCAGTTCATCCTGCTCCCAATGAGTGAATTCCAGTGCTATGGACTCCTGAGCTAGGCATTGGACCAGTCTCTCTTCCAGAGAAGGATTTGTCTTGCCCGCGATTTGCTTTATATCTGCCAGCCGCCCATCTTCGCCATCCAACGTAGCCAAGACTCCCGTGATGAGGTCTTCAGGTTGACGCTTTGAAATATCTTCAATCTCCGCAACGCATTTCTTAATTTTTTTGAAGAATTTCTTATATGAGTCATCGCTCGGAGTGGTGGCCTCGTCGTCCGTAAGAGCTTCTTCCACGGTCGTAGCAATGGTCAAGTCGTTATCCCCATCAGATGCCAGTGAGGATACTGAGTGATCTAACCGTGAGGCTGTTTCGGAACATGCAGAGGCTGTTCCACGTGTAAGGTCGGTACGAAAGTCATCGGCATCATTGCTAACCTGGACTGAAAGCCCTGTTGTGGCATGTCTCTGCTCAGATTGTCTTGATTGAATTTTAAAGGACACGAGAACCCGGCGTAAAATCTCTCGCAGGGCAGGAAGCACCTCAAAGCGGTGAGCTGCTAGGGACTCAGGAGATGCCTGAAGCAGAATCTGTAAAGCCCAAGATATCTCTGTAGTCATGATGAAATTATTTTGATGAAGGGCAAGGAGTGAGAGGAGACTGAATGGATAAAAATGTGGGTTGACAATTATCACAACAGCAATGCAGTCCCAACACACCACAGGGCTTAGTAAACCAATGGACGCATTGTATGCAGATTTAGTTGGCGCGCGCGCCAACTAAACGTGAACGTGCATTAGCGTCCATTCAAACACTAACCCCTGACACCAATATTTGGGCTGAACGCAACAGAGTATCATTATACCTGAATCTACAGAATGGGGCAGCTGAATCTCTGTGCAGGAAGACAGGAAAGTATCCGAAGAACTACCCAGCCATATCACTCAGGCGTTGAAGGATGGCCGCGCGGTTTGGGTGAACCGGCAAGTCAACCTTGTTGTTACAGCAGATACGAGGTATGATTTGTTACGTGGTTTAGGCATTGGCTAAGTCTTTTTTGCAGCTCTAGAGAAGACCTCGAGGCTAAATACATAGTCTGACATGGAGCATGGTTCGCCAATTTCACCAAGCCCATGGATAAACCAGGAGAAATGGGCATGATTGACTAAGGGAGATGTTTTTAGTCTTGCCTATCCTTAAAAAGAGGCTGGGGTGGGTTCGCCTCCTGAGTTCACGAATGAAACTGTGCATGATTAGAAATCATATCTGTCTTTCACAGTGCGCCAACTAGTCCAAGAAAGGGCACTCAACGATAGCCTCACCTTTGGTGGAAGCCATGGGAAACTCAGTTTTCCACCCACTTGAGATCTAATACGACTACATAAGGGAGTCCCAACCCTGTTAATCTGGTTCTGTAGCAGCTTTGGCTGGCATTATCAGCAGTAAGCATCTGAAGTCAAGCCTTATCTTTTGGGTTCTGCTACCGTCTCCCTGTCATTAAACATGAGCGGCAACACCGACACCGAGTTAATTGTGAGTAGCCTGCAGGTCCTGACTCATGATAAATGCTGACCTTACAGACTGTGAGGATCCAGTGGTGTGAGAACACCATTCAAGATTACCATGCTGCCAAACGAGTGCTTGAAACGATAGAGAGAAATCCCACCGCCTATTTCACGTCCTTAATCAATAGCATATGCGCAAACCTTCACTCCAAAGGCTTGTTGGGAGAGATCAGAGCGGTAGTTCCATTGGATCCACGCCAAGCTGATTTAGCTGTTCCTCGACAAAGCTTTGAACGCGTTCGAGAAGCCTATGGGGCCCTTGAATTTGAAATGCTCGGCGAAAATGACCCAATTTGGGACTTTTGGAAATGTCTGGTTCCGGATTCCCCAGTTCAGTGGAAATTGCTTGGACTGGGAGACTTCCGCAGTCGATACAATCGTGTGCGGAATCTTATACTTCAGGATATGATACCAAGACAAAGCATGACACCAGAACTGCAAAAATGGTTTGATGACTCTTGTGAACGGCTTTCATCTTTATACTTCTCTCTTTGGCGCGAACTGGGAGCTTAAATGTGGAATTTGATGTTTTGATTTTTAGATCGCGTTATTTGCTTGCATGGACTGGTTCAGATGTGAGGGCTGCTGATAATGAGACTGCTGATCGTTCACCCACCACTTCAAGCGCTACGAGACTAGTTCCTGTCTAGGTCCATCTCAGAATCTAGATTTGAAGTTTTTGAGACGTTACCTACAAAGCCCTGGCCCTTGACTGTCGTAGCTTGGACTAGGAAGAAATCCTATCCGGGCTTTTGAAAAATCATCCTACCCAAATCTACATTTGAATCACGCGTCTTTTGACCTCAGACGCAGTAAACTGCAATACTTTATCGAGTTTATACAATACGATCTTGGGCAAAACCCATTTGTTGATTGTTCTATTACTACAGAGCCACTATGTGTGACCATAAACAAGTGAACTATCGCTGTGGCCATTGTCACTAACTTGTGACTGCGTGGTGCTTGATATATGCCCAAACAGGCAAGATATGCCTTCCAAATGTAGTTTGGATGTAAGATCCAATGGTTTGTCTCTTGCCATAATTTTCAGAGACTAATATATTCTGATTATAGTGAAGACCGCATTGATGAATTTGATGAAGCTGAGATGATACTCTTGTAGGCGATTGCCTTTATTAGTTTAATTTTGGCTGCATACACATGCAGAGAATTTCCACCTTAACTTGCGACCTTTCAGCAATTTCTCGTGGATGTGTTGGAAAGAGGGCGCTTCAGTTTAGATAGTACTACTGTGAGACATGCAGCATCTCTTACTTGTCCATTTCAATCTCATATATATGGCTTCTAAAGCTTTCTTTAATCCAAATGATCTTATATATCTTGATGCGAAGCATATAACTACCATGAACTGTAAAATATCTTTTTCCTCTCCTGGACGAACAGTTATTGCTGTAGACGCGAAACCCGTGATTACATAATCACAGTTCCCCACCTTAACTACATGATGTCGGCAAAGATGGACGAAGCGAACACCTCGCAGGCAGACGATGCAGTGATGACCCTAGTTTACGAAGGACATGCCACCCTCAGCTGGGGCCAGCCCCCGGAGTATATGGCGAAGAGTATCGAGAATGCCATTGGTGACCAAATGAGTGCCGATTATTACTTCAGAGGCTCCTTTGGGTCACCATTATCAAAGGCACTCATCGAGTTCATGGACTATGATATGAATGATACTAAAGTATGCCTTTGGTGTGTCTGTCCTTACCAAGCTCACTTACTGTTTGCAGGAGAAATACATTTATCGCTCCCTTCTTGGTGTGGACCACGGGATGCCAGGAGAGCCCGTCGTGGTGTGCTGCGACAAGGCAACGGATAAACCAGGGCTCTACAGGGTTGGTCCACAGGGCCACCAGCGAGGCGAGGCGATCGTTCTATTTCGGGCAGTCCGGAACAGGGTTATTCTCTATGTCTACCCCAAATCACACAAACTGGAAAAACATGTCTGCCGTCAACAGGCATCACAGGGGAAGCTGAAGGCATGGCCTCTGGTGTTGGACCCGGGTAATGTTGTCATCGTGGATTCATATCTCTGTCTTGACTGGCCAGACAAAAGTGTTGGTACATTTGTTGCAATGGTGTATTCACGTGGACTTGCACGATTAGGGATAGATAAGGATGAAGAGGAGGTGGTCCCTTTCATGCGCTGATTGCTACATCCGATGTTGGCTGTCAGAGACTTGGGAACCCAATCCCAATTCATTCTGATAGCATCAATTCACAGGTGTCTCTGTGTTCTTGTCATTGGTCCTATTGAGATACAAGAAAGCTGAGAGCGTCAGATTGTGAGCAACTGCTATGTGATTGTGTCAACATACCAATACAAAAATTGTAATTGCATTGGTAATTGCGCATCATATCTGAATAGGCCCGTGAAAGTTGCAAGATGTTTGAATACCGGTCACAGCGTAAAAGGTCGCATAGTAGTTTTAGTTGAGGAACATATACATGCTCAAGCCGTCTGAGAACAGGGAGGAAGACAAGTGCTATCCCTGGTGCTGACAACTCCACCTCGACTATCAACTGCTTCCAGGTGACAGATACCCCTTTGCGTAAGGCGCCTAAGGGAAGGCTCTGCTCCTCGGCAAATGTTTTCAGCTTGCCTTGCGATCGATTACCAGAATTCTGCATTGTAACCCACCACTGGGGATCTTTGGTAATATCCAAGTGGGGGAACCTTGCATAATATTGCAGTGTTGTTTCCCGTGTGTGCAGCATGCAGAGGAACTTGTCCTCCAAGCTCGAGGATCTTTTAAGCGAAAGATTGGAAATTCGGGGATTCGATGTTATCTTCATCTGTGCGATAATGTATGTTCGATCACGCCTGAAGAATTCCTGAACTGTTGCCAGGTTTTCCTCAACCAGGTCTAGGAAGCCTTGTGCAGTTAAGCCCGCCGTTTCTTGATGTACATTAATCACTGGTTGATTTGACAAGGATTGGCAGGTCGCATATGCCGACTGTCCTTCACCGCCGCCGCTGAGGTCTTCCATGTCGACTGGGACGATAAACCGAACCCTTCCGTGGACGTTGGGACGTGGGCAGATGTTGTTGCGCGGGGCGCGAAGCCGCGGAGTTTTTTTAAACCTTAAATGGTTAGTCAGTGGGGTCTGACTTGGTAACAGCATCAAAGTGGCCTATGAGATCCTGGGCACAGGAGTCTTCAAAATCCTCCATACCTCAAAGCGCACTATGATTTGTAACCGAATCAGCCTAATTGAGCCGGGAGTGGGTTCGCCCTGCCGGAATCTTCAATAGTAGAAGGCTGACACCATGTGGTGGACCAGAGATAAATACTGTACACCGCAGGTTGAAGAATATCCTTTTAAGCTGCATCAGGTTAGCCTGCGGGGTCTGACTTGAGTTAAAATAGATAGCTCACCACTTATATCCCTGGACTTCTAAGCCGCTCAATCGGAAGAAGACCCTGGAGAAGGCTTTCCATGGTGCGCTTTCTATGCAGCCATCGTCACAATGCTTTTACAGCAGGGTCCGCAGGGACAGAGTCCCGCAAGTCTAGACCTCATGTGTCTAGATCATGGCATCTACAGGTTGGCACCTCTGTCAACTCGCAAGCATGCCAAGTGAAGCTACACTCACTATAAGGACCACGAGCGGCTGCCTTGCGAATGCGACCCTGTCTACCGCTGCCGGTTGCCTCTCTCCAATCTGATAAGCTTGCCTTCGAGGCGCAAGAGTCAGCCGCACTGGGTCAGGGAAATATGTCTGAAATCACTACGAATGTCAGTATTCCGCCCCCAGCAACTAACACGCCAATTATATTAACTCATAGCACTAGGATGCACGTCGAAGACCACCGTCAATATCACAGTCTCCCTTTTTTGATATTCCAGCCATGACAGCTTTGCGATGCATTGCTATGGACATGTTAACGCCAGAAGGCTGTGATTACCCCTGTCCCATACCTGATGAGGACCTGCAGACAATGATAGACGCGTTGGCACAAGACACGAAGTACAGGCTTGGCTTGGTTGTATGGCACTATGACGCCAATCCGGTACCGGTATGCACCAGGGAAATGATCCAAGGTGTGTCTGGAATCTGCAGAGGTGACAGCGAAAAAACACGCGAAATACTCTGGAAGAAATCGAAGTACTCCTGGAAAGAGGGGGGTCGGTTCATGACCCCTGAGGAGTTCACCACAGCATTGGAAAATGACCAGGCAAGTTACAGGTTGTACAGGGGGTAGAATTGACTAAAACAGACGGCTAATCAAGGATTAGGATACATGTAGGAACCTTGTCCTTCATCATCGAGCTGGAGAGCGGGCTCGGTTGGAAGAGGAGCGGAGAGCAGCCGAGATGGCAGGATGGCTCAAGGATTTCAAGACCCTGTGATTTGAAAAAATCCCAATTCAAGCGCAGCCTAGAGTTAGTAAAAGTCCATTTTAAGCTTGGAACCCATGAAAATCACTTATCATCCACCGAGTGACATACCCCTAGTTGGTGGTCATTTGCGAATGAATCATGCGCGTTTACCGAGCACCGTGATTACAATAGTCGACCCAGGACTTGAACAAGGTTCAGCTGCTTCTGATATCCCTGTCAAATCGCCACGACGGTGCGTAACAACAGACGCAAACTAAATGCCTCCTAAGGGCTAGGTCCTGTTACTAAATAAAATTCAAAATAGTGCATGTAACAGTTCAGACCACCCCTAGGATTACGACGAAAGCATCAAGCATATTTATTGGGCCACAAGTTCGCATCACCATTTCTTTCCGATGACATTTTTGAGAGGCCACTCTCTGATCCATGATTATCTGTTAATCAATGCATTGTACATTATTCCATTCCTGTTGTCAAATGTGCTCTATCCATGGAGAATACATCGTTTAAAAGTGTGCAAACGGGGAATCGTCGCATATTCAGAGCATGCTTAACATGCCATCGAAGACGCATCAAATGCAATGAATCAACGCCCTGCGACACATGCAGCAGGAAGCGCCTGGAGTGTTACAGACCCGACTCCTCACAGATATATCCAAAAATTTTGTCAAATCCGGACAAGAAGAACCTGAGAAAAAGAAAGGCAACATTGATATCTTCTGGCGAGGATGCAGAACAGCAACTGGAGAAGAAAGACCGAGACGAGAAATCCTTCAAATCGCCGCATATAATTTCCGAGACACGAGCAGTAGAACACTCCCAGGAGACAATATTAACGACTACACGCAAGTCCTTTTTTCCACCATTGCAGACGTCTGATTCTGCACCTTACTATGGCCAAAAGAAAAATGAGGCACTGTCGAAGCATGAGTTTGAGTCGCTTCCCATAGAAAACACGAAAACAGATCAATTGGAAGACACCCCCATCAATGGAACAGAGTTAACATCTGGTCTTGATTTCTTGAATTCTATTTCGCATGAGGAGAACTACTGCTTTTCCTGGTGGAGGTCAGTGTGAAACTCAATGTTTTATATATTTTGTTGCTAACGTCTAACAGATATCGGACCGAAGATCAAATTCCGCATCTCAAAGATCCTAAGAATCGAATTTTGTCGGTTATCATTTCCTTGAAACGGTCCGGAATTGCATGCGAGCAATATAGATTGTTCTTACAAACATCAGCCGCTGATGATCTTCGTCGACGTCTACTGCCCCTTCTTGGAAGTCATCGTCATTGCAGCCTTGTTTTCATCGTCCACTTCCTGACTCTTATGTGTTTACTTCCGGTTCACGACGAGACCAGCTTGGATCTAGGATCCAATCAAATTATGGACATATTGCGAGTTCATGAAATCTTTCGAGGTCGGCTTATGCCACTTAGCTCCACAGATTTTCGTATCCTATGCCGTCTCGCCTGGCGAGCGACCCATTTGCTGCAGGATGTTCATTCGAATATTTTCCGTGAGTGTCTACAACTACCGGCGTTGGACAAGCGGCACAAAATTTTCGATCTTTATCTATCCTTTCGGCTGAAAAGCGAATACCATCATGATTGTGCTGTGGTTGCTGCAGTGCCTGCCCCTGTACCATCGTTTATATACCTTACAGATGTGGCGGATGTCTTGGAGGGCATATCTACGTTTTGTTCGACCAATACAGATCTCCACGACGAGCTTATGGGGGCACTTCTGGTAACTGTGAAGATTTGTACAGACGAGGAACGCTATTGGTCTCAGGAGAATTGCGACAATGGAAAGTTGGTACCTTCATTAGATCCGCATTTTTGTCACATCAAGAGATTGATGGAAGAACCGACAGGCGAAAGAACAATTGCGGCCTTGGAATCACTGCGCGAAACACACAGGTTCTTCGAGAACTTCACCGTGCCAATCTCAGGCGACTGGTTACTAGCGAAAAATCATCCAGGAACCAAAATGTGCTGGTACCTCTGTTCACTACTTCCGTCCTTATTGGAAAGGGTCTCCGGCCTTAACAAAGTTTGCGTAACTTGAGATGTATGTATACTTCAGGTGGTTCAATGTTTAGATGAAGCAAGACGAGGAGTGTGAGGAAAGAACCATTTTCCTCAAGAAAGCATCAACGTGATGTTGCTCGAAGTCAGATAGCTAGACTACTCAAAGGGTTAATACATGAGCGTATGAAGATCCCAGATAGAGAATAGTAGATTATATTGAAATAATCTGCAATCAGAATGGCTCTTTACTAACATGGCCTAACCGGGTAAGGCCCTCTGACGCCTTCGATGACCATTATTTAGATTTGCAGAATCCGCAGTATATCCTGGCATGTAGAGCAGTTATGCCACTTGCTAATTCCAGGCATTTAGTGATGAGTTCCTGCCGAGAAACCCTGAAGATTGTATTTTTACCTTGGCAAACTAGCCTGCGCGACGGACACAATACGAACTAAGCCTGATTCCGAATTTAGCAAACAAAAAGCCGGTAGACGCCTTACAGTAGTAGAATCGCAAGCGTGCTGGGATAGGAGTCCCGATGCAGGATGGTACATGGTAGGTGGTGTAATGCAGCTGTAGCGCACACCGGCCCCCAGCTCCAATGACTCGGTCTCGGCTTGCATCTGGGGCATTAGACGCACACTTACTTATTCTCTCTTCCTGTCCTCTCCTTGCTTATCATTGGGATCCAAGCCTTGCAATTATTGATCTTCCTTTGTTTCTGCTTTATTACACCTTTTAAGGTTGCCTGCAGCATGCGGACCTGTCCTGGTAAGAATACTCCTTTCCTGAGTTCAAGGGGGGTGATACTGACAACTCAGGATCTCCTGATTACGCGACAATTACAGTCTGTGGCCATAAGACCAACGATAAAAGTGTAAAGTGGAAATGGCCTACTTATCTCAAGAACATCATGGTACCTGAAGGCCGTATATTGTTTGAAGTTACCACGGCTAATTGGTGCCCAGTTTCTTCTTTCTTTCTCTTGGCCCCAGGGCAAGCCTTATCTTCAGCTGATTTACATTGTTTTTTGGTTAGTCTCTTCCGGCATAGGGATATTCGCCATATCTATGTTCTTATTCCAATCATTAGTTGTATGCTTTTTGTTCCTTTTGCGAGCTTGGGAGAAGATCTGGCGCCCTACGTCTCTTGAGGCTTAGCTATTTGCTCACATGTTGAGGAAGGTCCGCTCGTGGTTGAGGATAGGGGAACCGAGCATCTGGACGTCGTCGGGGACAGCATGCAGGATGAGATTCCCGTCAGTACAGGATCCTATATGCCGACATGCCATGACAGTGTTAGTTCCCAAGGAGATCGCGTGCATGATGTCGGTTCTCCGATCGCCGTCCGGCATGGAATAGATTCTGCGAATATACCACTCTCCAGCTGCAGCTCTGGGAAAGTTATAGACCACGGCAACTCTGAGTTTGATGGGGGAGTCATGCAAGCCACAATGCGAGCCACGCTGCCTCTAATAACGACACCAATAGGCCAGAAGATCATACAGATGAGGCCCACGTGGATGCTTCCGAGCTCGGTCAAGACACTGCCTATTCTAGCAGGGTTTTGAACTTAATACAACCAGCCGAGAAACAGTCAATATCACAACTGGACACAGAAGGCTCACCTCGGGATCTACGTACGCATTCTTCTCTTGCGGTGGGTTTACCAATGTCTCAGCCTATACAATCTGGAAGCAAGGAAGCCAGACGTCGCAGGACAGATTGTACGGCCAAGAGGAAGAGCTGCCGCTCCTGTCACTCACGTAGCGCCGAAAGTGATGGCCCCAGAGATGATAATTACATTGACAGGACTGATGGATTTGTTCAGCCGCAGATTGCGACCCAAAAAAAGGAAGAGAGGATAAACCGGGTGCGACAAAGGGACGAAGAGAGGGACGGCGGCATCGTAACGGGGGGCGATGAGTAAGGGGTGAGCATGAAATAGAGAGATATATGAGTTATGTGTCCGAGATTCGTGGCAATCGGGAGTTAATTCCTACCACCTGTTAGATGTGGAGAATAACACCCCCGGACAGTATGAAATGGATTCATTGTGAAAGAGACCAGCATGTTCATTCAAGAGTCTAGAGATAGTCCTGCTGACCAACAAATAGATATTACTAGGGATCTTGAAGTCAGCGTTCCCTAGTGTAGTAGAAGAGGCTGAGTACCAGTGACAGGTATAAAAGTGTGTAGGTGCCCATCGTTTCTCTCTTCCAATTCCTCTTCCTAATTTCTCTCATTGATTTCACCCTCAATAACATCAGCATGGCCACTACTTACCGCAAGCATCGCCAAACCCTCCTTCAAAACTCAAAGACCCTTCGATCCAGGACGGTCTACTCTATAACTGCCTCTGTACCTCATTCCTCCTCTTACCACAGAAGGCATATCCGTCAAACTATTCGATCCCAGTTAAGTCGGGGCAAAGAATTTCAAACCCATGAGAACTCTGGCAACGTCGAGGGTCATCCGCCTTGCGTCTCTCTAATGATTTTAACTGGCTCTAGCGCTGCTTCTGGTTATAGTAATAATACTACTCCCTTATACTACAAGGGTAGCAATGTGGATGATAGTCCAATGTTGCTGGAAGATGACGCAGAAAATGGCACCCATGTGGCTAGGTACGACAGCCTCATGCATGATGATGAGCATGAGCCACTCAACGAAGCCTTCCGGCCCTCTGTAGTGGCAGCCGATTGCCGCTTTTCCGAAGAGGAGATTGGAATCCCAACCGACAATGATTGGACGTGGAAATCAGTGCTGCAAGACAGATTCTGCTTCAAGCATGGTCTAAGAAAGTGGAATTTTTCCAATTTAATTCCCTTGCCTTTATGTAACTGCACTGTTCTAGTTAGCTGACAAGCAAGCTACATATATGATTTTAAGCTCGTAGAGTCATTAGCCCTAGTCTACTCGTTACCTCACTTGGTCTAGGCTCGAGGACGAGTTGAAATCCTACCACTGCTAGGGCTCCGTTACAACTTGGTGCTGCCTATTCGATGTTGGTATTCTAGATGGTGTGTGGAGAACACTGCTAGCGCATCTGGATAACTACCCGTGAACCAATCCAGTGCGGTGAGATAAGCAGCCTGAGGTGATGTACGGAGTAGTCCACTCGTATGTCACGTGTATAGAGTACAAGTGCATCATGACCTCCAAGTTAGCTCCATCGATATTCAGTTACATTCTCTTCGGTACCACACCAAAGGGCTTAGTAAACCAGTGGACACATCATATGCAGATTTAGTTGGCGCGCGCGCCAACTAAACGTGAACGTGCATTAGCGTCCGTCCAAACACTAAACCCCGACACCAATATTTGGGCTGAACGCAACAGAGTATTAAGAAGTAATCAAATCACCTTATTCTTGTTCTGCAGAAACCTTGGTTATGAATTCTGAGCTATGAATTCTGAGCCAAATTGTGTTATCCCAAAATCATGCAGGATACCACAGGACAGGAATGCAATTTTTCCCAGTCTAGTTGGGAGTATGATCTGTTGTCAAAGCATTGATTCGGATATAAGAAGGGCGTCCCAGTTCTACTGGTTGCCTTGTCAATCGCATGCATAGTACCGGTTGCCTTGATTTCGATCCTGACCGTTATTACGACAAAGACTGAACTACACAATTGTGTGCGTCCATAATGGAGAATGCATCAGTCACCCTGCAGAACGCCATTAAAGTGATATCCACAATATCAATCTCCTCGAGAGACAGCGAGCATCCAGTCCCAGCAACCGAGATCCATTTTAATGATCGAAAAGGTAGGTAACACTCTCTGATTCTTCCAGACAAATGGTGACATTAACAAAGTCCGTCATTGGAAAAGACCATTTTCAGATCCGAGAAAGCAAGGATTCTATTTTTACTATCGGAACAAGCTCTGAGGATGAGGGACTTACTCTCAGCTGGGACCAGATGATGGATTCTGTCTTCGGGATTTTGTTTCTTGTACAGCATGGCCATATAGTGTCTGTGGTTTCGGAGATCTTGAAACAACGATACTCATCGGAATGGCAGAATTGGAAACCCATGACAGGCTCAGGCGGCCTCCGTCCCATGTCTTTAGCCCAACGAGGGATTGAGTTCTATGGGCGCGTTTGCCTAGACTTGGAAAGCTTTAAACTCATCCCCATTCGAGCTCTAGAAGGCACTTGCGCTGGAAGATTGTTAGTGTACCAACTAAAACACCCGGGAGAGTCATTACCGCTCTGGAGGGTTGTATGGTCTGTCCTCTGGGCTGCTATTCTAGGTATATACGCCTGCATGTTTTCAAGATAGATTATGTACCATAGGAGGACATCTGTCATCTGCTCTCATATACTACTTTGTCGCCTTTCAGACATTTATAGTTTAACTGACCCCTCAATTGCATATATATACAGACTATGAAGAAAGCAACCGAATATCCTGTGCCATTTGTAACACTTTTGATTTCCTCATATACTGTCTGAAGTCGTGTTCCTCATTTCACACCTCACGGCAGCAAATATGCCTATGTCATTTGTAAAGAAAGTCTTAGATGGAAATGGGCAATTGCCGAAGAACGGAGACATTGTTACTGTTTGGGCAGCTTGGTTCCAGAATGATGTGACCAATAAGCCAATTAAGAGGTAATGTCACCTGTGATTTGAAAGTACTTGACCTATCTTTTCTAATAATTACTCAGAGCGGACGCTGTTGATAATTTTACATTTCAGTTGAGAAAGGGTGAATACGGTCGAGGTCTGACGAACTAGTTCCTCATACCTAAGACATTACTGAGCGGTCCGCAGCATACGAAGATGCAGTACTACAGACTGCAAAAGGTGGAAGGTCTATTTGGTTAATTGATGGGTACGTGATGACAAGCAGTCCCGGGTGAGAATGCAGCAAACTTAATTTCTCAGCGACCACGCGGACTCTCTCTGGGAGGATTGGGTGCAGGAGGGTAAGATCGAGCCATCGGCGGTCCCCGAACATAAAGATGTGACATTGTAAGTGACTCAGGCTTTAAAGTTGACTTAGAACTAAGGATAGGGAGCAAGCTCTTGATCAGAGACATTAGATGAGAACATTGTTGTTGTTTTACTATATCAACTGTGTCTTTTAACTGTAGTTTAATTTTGCAGGCATCTTCCAGGAATCTTACAAAGTCTTTATCCACATAGGAAAGTATCTCTATTCATTTGTAGGCTGTGCTATCTTGAAGAGCGAAATTCCAGATCAATAGACGCTCATATAAGAAAGTAGAAACCCCCTCGCAGGAGAGAGCTACATCCAGGTATACAACTAGGTTCTGCATCATCAGAAAATCAGATACATTACTGTCCAATTATCGCTTCAAGTGAGTCTCTACCTTTGTGATATAAACGCCGTCACAGACTGATTCAAGGATATAGAAATTGTTTTCTGAAATTGCAAAACGGGCCACAGTGGGATGGATGCTTTTCCTACTCAACCCAGGAAGCGCAGAAGCACTACTGCCATGAGGGAAGAGCTTGAGCCTCAGAAGCGGCCATTACATGAATCAGCAGCAGAAGGGACAAGCAATCATAATGAAACACAGATCTTCAGCAAAACTGAACTATGGCCGGGTCAACCAATTGACCGAAATATACCTCATCAAGGAAGCTATATTAAATTTGGGAAGATTCTAGACTCTGCTGAACCCCAGCAACCACGGAAAGTCGAAGGTCTAGCTCAAAAATGGGTGCAAAGGGATGCTCGTATGCGCAGGAGACTTTATTGCTGCGTATGCAAAGAGAAAAATGCATCAGGAAGACATTGTAATGTGTGTGGTCATGAGCGTTGCCCAGAATGTCTAATCAGAGATGTACTGGAACGCGATCAAAAGCAAGTATGACAGTACAGTACATGACATCAGTTCGTTAAATGTATCCCCTATGTAGCTCCTAGTCTGCATCACATGATGTGGATGGCTGAGCGGTATCAACATCTTGCCATTAGCTAAAAAAAAAATCCATAATCTAATTTCACATACTGGGATTACTGTATTATCTTACTCGAGTAATCTTCTAACCATTCTCTGTTCATATCGCGTTGCAGCTGGTAGCTCCCAGTCTGCGACTCGTAGTTCTCTGTATATCACACAGCGTGAAGACACTGTACAATAGCGGTTAAAAGTTTATTTTAGGGGAAGGCCGGGAGAATCTCTGCTAAGTAGTCAGACCATCTTTATGCTTTCCCACAATATCGTATCTGAACAAGTGGTCTCTTTGTTTTTTGTCGTTCATGTTTGTAGAAACATGATAAATCCTTGTTGAACAAAACAAGCGATGATATGATGGCATTTGGACCTTCGATGAACATTGGCACACAAGCCATTTGATAACCGCATCGATGCACCATATAGATATGGGACAGGGATCTGCTCCTACGACAGATTCTGCAGAGATGGTCATCGAAACCTTATGCAAGAGGGTGCCGCAGCCGGCAGGGAGAAGCCACCCATCTGACGCAAGTATCCAGCTCCGTTTGCGTCTTCTGTGGCCTTTGAATCATTCTCAGGGATCGTCGGCCGGTTGGCAACTGCAGATTCCCAATAGCTACTCGGCACAGGTGCATAAGCCAAACTGACAGCGTAGCAGCGCCTTGATCCTTCCAAGTATATATGGACGAGTAGATCGTAGAGATAGAATCGAAAGCTGAGATCCATAAATATCGCATTCTCAGTAGACGCTGCAACGACGGTAAATGACAATGGCACAGATCATAAACTGCGGGGGATGTTCGATTCGGGTAAGGAAACCCCATGAATTAGTAGAAGGAACAGCACTTATTTTCTCCTTAGCAAGACATAGACAGAATAAAGCGGTGGCTAGGGCAGGATCATCAGACTTTCCTTGTGAGTCTTCGATCATCCAACGCTGGGACTTTTACTGAATGAATCAGAATTGGCTCGCGAGTCGTTACAACGAGAAGTTCCCAAATGGGCCTGCAAATGCAAAAGACCAAGAAAAGTTTCTAAAAAACAAAGTGGAAAACTTTGAGAAGGAAAAAGATCTGTATCTCGCACTGGACTATGAGCAAAGGGAAATGTTGGCGGCCGCCGCACTACGAGTCAACTTGGCCGGAGTGGTTGCGCACACCTGCGGAAGAGCTAATTGATGAGCAATCTGTGGCGCGTTTCCAATGCACGCGTCTGAGTCAGTCACATGACGCTCGATTCGCCGAGCCAGTTAAATAGCCTCCGATGCTTCCAAATACTATCCATACATTTTAGTGCTCTCATCATTAATCTTGTACCCTGTAGTATCTTGTGTATATCGATACGGGTGAAACGTGCCTCTCAGGATGGCAGATCAATCTCTATTTACAGATGGTTCTTCCGAGGAGTCCATCATTCGCCTCCATGATCTTGTTGAGTGCCCTCTTTTGGAACGATTAATCCAAGGACAGTACACTCAAGATTATGCAAAGAGAAGCGAACACTGGCGGAAGGCATCATGGTATGGAATTGAAGATAATCCAAGCATTACTCTGAACATTACGTTATTCGACTACTACTAAATTCCTATCCAGGATCCGCTGTGCTCCCACCTTTGCATTCAGTATTTAAGGACAATACACTGTCAATACCCCTTCCTCGAACCAGCGATCTTGAGCATGATGAGGAAATGTTTGCTGGATAAACATTACCCTCTGGTTTATACCAATTCAGATGTTATTGTTCTTCTTGTTGTTGCTTTGGGGAGTATTGCCAGTAGGCAAGAGCCCCTTCCAGTGCCTCAAGTAGAGCCATTTGAAGGATGGACAGAAACAGAGATCGCAAGCGCAGTACGACAGAACATTGAGGCAATACCTGGGCTAAAGTATTTTGTACTGGCCCTCGAAATTTTTCGCATCATGACAGATATCGACCCACTTCATAAGGTCCAGATACATCTGCTCATAGCGCTCTACGCCGATCAGATTATGCTCCTTTCAATCAGGCATGGCCACATATTACGGGCTTGCCAGGGTTGTATGCCATTGATGAGGAAGTGAGCATATAAATGCCTACTGCTGGGCTTGTACTAACTCGTTCAGGGTTGTGTCTGGAACAGAATCGCAGGAAAGAACTCTGCTTGTCAAGTGCGCGTTCCTCACCTGTGTAATGTTGGAAAGGTATTTGCCTGTCTAGGTCTCAAACGACTCTGACTGATTGTCATGCAGAGATATCTCGACTGTACTAGAAATTCCTCGCAGCGGAATTTCTGAATACTTCGATACTATAGCTACTGAAGTGTTTCCATCACTGGAACATTGGCAAGGATTTGTTAATCCAAAATACAAAGAAATCATGCTTTGTTACCAGTCGGCAAATCTTGCTCTGATACAGTTCTCACTTCAATGCCAGCACAATAAGGACTCTGCTAAGGCAACAGCGCGAGAACAGATGGACACCATCCTCAAGGAATTAGAGTCTTGGAAGGCCAAACAACCCACTTGGACTAAATGGATCGAAAATGACGAATCACCTCCTCCCTCGGATTCATTTACCGCAATTCTTTGCCTGAGATACTTTTACGTCCAGCATCACGCCCGTTTTCCTTTTGTCCACCAGTATGTTCATTCGGGGCCTCCTGGAGATCCAGACACATATTGGGAGGTTGACATACAAGCCAACGAATGCATCAGTACGGCATGGAGATTTTTTGATATTATGGATCGTCAGATGGGAAAGCCAGAGCTGACCTTTCCCAACCTTGTTGGTTTCCTTCATATGTAGGTGCACCTCTATTCATTCCCTCATCATGTTGCTTTTTTTCTAAAACTCTTTGTAGGCAGTTTGGAATGATCCTGTCGGTTCTCTCTCTGCAGAAGGATTGGCCACGCTATGGTTTTGATAAATACGAACTTGCCGACCGTCTAGGAAAGGCGATCAGCTTTCTGCGGAAATACAGGCACTATTCACCTCTTCTATACAAAGACGCTGAGATTTTGGACTTTATCAGTGATGACCTTACCTAAGACGCCAGAACGTGGCCCGTTAGATACTTGAAATGGATCTCGTGTCTGGTCATGTTTTAATGAGCATGGATCTGTCTTGCTTGGCCTGCTTGTTTCTTACTTTGATGGTGGATCCTATCTAAGCGCACTGGTTAAAGAGTGATACCTGGACTTGGACAGTCCTGTTTTGTCATGTCTCCCCTGGAAGAAGCACTGATTTTGACAGACATTGTTTCTGTGGCAAGTAGCTTCCGTGGTAGTTAAATCAATGAGAGTTGGCGATGAGAGGACTTATGATGTATAATAATGAGGTGCACTGAAGAGAAGGCGAGGCGACCAGGCTGTACGGTTAGCTGTAGATAGTGTCCGGGGAGGTGGAACGAGTGTCCCTTGCGCTGGACGTCCGGTGGCTTTATGTGAGTGATGCAGATGATGGAGCATAAGACACCGGGTTAGTCTTATTATCGATGTATGACAAAGATTGCCAAAATCTGCTCCGGTCGTGAGAAAGGCCCTTTCTTCCGAGTCTTAAAAGATAGGCACTTATCCTGATGGATAACCGGCAACCCTGGCCTAATAGGATTGCTGTGCCGGACAAGACCGAGCAGCCGTTGTTGGTTTGACTGCCTCCCCGGCATCTCCTATATCAGGAAGTGAGGGATCATCATGGCTTGACCACAGTCACATACTGAACG